CCCCCCCCCCCCCCCCCCCCAGTTTCTCAACGGATTTAAACATATCTCGAAGGTGGTTCTGAAGGTGAGTGGGGGAACTCGTAAGTTGTCATTTGTTTCACATGCTAGTTCAGCAAGCGCTATAAGAAATTCCCTGGCGCCAGTCAGACGTTCATAGGCGTACCGTCTCGTATAATCTGCCAGTTATGACCCATCCATTTTCTGCAACTTCCTGATCAGCTGATCACTACATGCAGTTGCTCCATGCAAGGCTGCAATAGTCAAAGTATGGCTGTATGGCAGTACTAACGCATTGTATACCTTAATCAAAGTTGTTTTGGGGACTAACAGCTCAATTTGATTTTCATAGTAGTTGCTCATCAATAATTATGCCCATTGATTTTGCATGCTTAACCCGCTTAATATTTGCATCCTGAAATTCTAAAATTGGGTCAGTTTCAATACCCGATAATCTCTGGTGTGAACAATTAGCATATATATTCTGTTTTATATATACCTATCCAACAACCAGTTGTGCATAAGCTCTAGGTCAAAATTTAATCGCCGTTGTAGTTCTTCTTTATTTATCTCAGCTTGCAGTGGTTAGATTGGTGTCGTTGGCAAACATATTCGCTCTAGTATATTTTATACAATTAGGCAAATAGTTAATAATTATAAAGAAGGAATAGCAGAGTACCCAGGTTAGACCTCTGAGGTACTCCACTAAGAATTTTTTGCGGGTTCGAACTAGCTTCGAATAGTTTGTCCAATCTTACATCTTTGAATTCTATTTCACAGGTATGATTAGTTTAACCCCTTTTTTGCCATTAAGTTCTAATTTTCGAAGTATATAGGATACTGTGATTTACGCAATCAAATGCTTTCTTTAGGTCAAGAAAAACAACTCCATTTAGTTAGCCTTTATTCATATTCAATTAAATACCATTCATTCGTAACAGATAGTAAATAATAATGAAGTTTCTGTTGAACCCTTCTTTCTGAAACCTGATTGTTAATTTGACAGCTGATGAGAAATAAGTTTTTCAAAAATCTTAGCAACCGCAAACAATACAGACACAGGTCTATAATTTGTGGGTTTACTTTTACAATCCGATTTATAAATAGGGGAAACAATTGCTATTTTCATATCGTCTGGAAAACTATATCCGATAACATTGACTTATTGAATATTGTTGTTAAAGACTTTATAGTTAGTAATTACGTCAGCATAATCCTTCAACAATTTTGCCGAGATTCTGTCGTGTCCTGTAGCTTTAGTTGTTTTAACAGTATAAAGTTATATTGTAACTGAAACCGGCATCTGTTTCAGTTACCAACTGAAACCGGAAAATGCTGTTTAAAGGTTTTACCAACGATTCTGCATGGTATCTGGATATATTTCGGAAGATCTTCTGCTAATTTACGTCCTATCTCTGTAAAAAAAATTAATGAAAATAGTTGCAATTTCTCTTGGTTCAGCTAATATATTCCCATCATCTTAAATTTCAGTTATATTGGTGGATTTTACACCCCTATTTGTTAACTCATTAACTTTTTCCCAAATTTTTTTTTATTTGCTTCAGAATTACTAAATGATGTAATAATTTGCTTTCGCATTTTTAACTATTTCAACCACTTCACTTCTAGCTTTAGAAATTAGACCCAGATTTTACCGCTTGTTTTTTTAGAAAATCTCTCTTATATGTATTCTGTCTTTTATTGTAGGTGTAATCCAGGGTATATGTTCATTTTTGACTTTACGATTAATCTGGGGTTTCTTAAATGAAAGAACTCTTTAAGCTGTAGTGTAACTTCTTTTGCAGTTTCTTGTTTTTATAGTTTGTTCCCGAGATAATTCAATTTGGTTGATATGTAAATGATGTGAATATGTCCGCTAATTTATGACGTCACTTTGGTTGCAAGCTCAACTTACACTGGTTATAAATCTATTAACTCCCAAAACTGTAGATACCAGTTCACGTTTTTCTCTAGTGTTTCATCACTTTTACCAGTGAGTGAAGTTTGAAATTATCATCTTGGATGATTGCAGTGATATTCAACCATTTTGAAGAGCTTGCAGCCAAAGTGACGTCATAAATTAGCGGACATATTCACACTCATTTACATATCAAACAAATTGAAATATCTCGGGAACAAACCATAAAAACAAGAAACTGCAAAAGAAGTTACACTACAGCTTAAAGAGTTCTTTCATTTAAGAAAATAAGAAATTTTGTGTCATATGCACTTTAAGTTCCTGTCCACACTAGACCGTTTTCGTTTGAAAACGCATACTTTTGTATGCGTTTCTACCGATCGTCCACATTAATACGATGAAAAACCGATACCTTCATCAATGAAAACAAGGCTTTTAATTCGAAAACGGCTTTGAAATTGGAGACTTTTGAAAACGGAGGTGTATTGGGCCAATGTGGACTGCCAAAAATGAAGATTTTTCAAAAACTCGAACGTGATCAACACGATCATACGTGACCGCTACAGTAAGTCACTAACAGCTGTATTATATGCGAAGCTTTTAGGTCAAACCTGGATAAATTTGCCCCTGTCTCCGTAAAAGGTTTCCCGGTGTTCTAACTTGTTATATTTTACGGAACTGACCATAAAATGATCATGAATAAATAAGGATCGAAAATAATAAAAAATGTATTGCTTTCTAAGTGCTAGTGTGGATGGTAAAAAAGGATCCGAAAATGCTAGTGTAGACCCAGATATTTGTATCGAAGTATAAAAATAATGTAACCTAAGGCAAGCAAAGCAAAGATGATAAAGTGGCGATTGTTCCTAGTGAATCCCTTCCTGTTGCCGTTTGAAACAGTGAGTTTGGGAAATGCTAAACCCTGTTTGACGTTGCACTTGTTGTGGCTTGGAATGCAGCCGTTGTATCAAGACGTGAAAATCTGTGATTTGACGTTGTTAACAGAGCGAGCACAATGTCTAAATTATTCATATATTGTAATCTATTGTATGGTAGCCGTTGCCGGCCTAAAATCGTAAGGTCTCTGTACTGCAGTACAATTAATGAAATAATTGTACTCCTCTCAACAATCAGCATCCAGTAATTTTGTCATGCTAATAATAAGAATATTTATTCGTACTTTATTATTATGTTAAAATTTGTTTAATTTCCATCACTTTATAGACATCAAACGAAATTGTAGGCGCTGAATGATTAGCCATTAAAGCCTTTCGCAATTCAGTGTGCTGCGATTTTATGTGAGAATTGATGAGCAATGGTTTTTAAAATATCAATATATTTGTATTCTTATCAGTAAATATTCATAACTCGGCCACTCATTCACATCCGTCAAAAGACGAAAATGTTCCTAAAATCGCAACAAAAATTGCAAATGTACAGCATTGAAGATTATAATATTTTTGAAATATAAAAACATCTATCAATTAATAAATGTATCGTCCTTTAAAACAAACAAAATAGTTTCGTCTAGTAGTGTTATATCACATAGTAAGTTATCAACAATTCAAATCACGCGTGGAATTTGGATGTGCATTTGCGCTAAGAACGAGTGCAAACTTCGGTTATAATTGGGAACATCTAACGTTCATGACCCCACAACGGCCACAAGTGACTGACAGTGACAGCGCCATACTCTTTCACCCTTTCGATGCAATGTTCCACACGTGTCCGAACTCTCGCGTGTTTTCTGTTGAACAACCGCTTTGTAAGTTTGCCAGCCTCATTTCTCCATGGTGTGACAAGGGGATAAACACTTGGATTTCCTTTCTCTGCCAAAATATACAGACCGACTACAGACCTTGTGGTAGGTCGAGTTCTTGTCTACTTCCGATGACAGGCATCAGCTAAAATTGACCTCTGTCATTGTTATGCCCCAAGAACCCAGATTGAATATATACAATATTGGAATTACGAGTCTTTTCTGTGTTGGTGTGATGTAGTCAGGTGAATATGATGCTTGTGATGTTACGCTGAGTGTATATTATGATTACCATAGATTACATTGATATCGAAGGAACCAGGCTCAGCTCCAAAATATCACATACTCGAACCGACATGACCGAGTAGCTCAGTTGGCAGAGGCCAGAGCATTGGACAGTATTCCAAAGGTCGTAGGTTCGATCCCCACCGTGGTCAGGCATATTTTCAAGCTTGTCCGGTGTGGATATACACTCAGAGTAACATCACAAGCATCACAATATTGGAATTGTCATACGTTATTAGTACTTTTGCACAAGTGAACATAACAAATCCAACAAGGTGATTGGTCAAATTATTAATCTGTTCAATTCGCCTACAGGTGAATATAACAAAATCGAAATTTTCAATGGCGGCTAGCCGTTTTGTTGAAGTTACTAGTAATAAAGAAATAAGCAAAATTAAAATGAATTCAGAGCAGAAAAAAACAAAAAAACTTGTGCAAAAATATTAAAACAATTATTCGCCTCAGGCTCGGTGATTATCGTGGAATATTCACCTCGACGTCGTCTCGGCGAATATTCCCCGATAATCACCTCGCCTTCAGCGAATAATTGTTAATTATTTGCGTGGAGAAATTGTGATATCGGCAATATGGCCCACAAAAATCGTGCTGATGTTCAATTTGTGGTGGTTAAATTGCATGACACGTTCCATCAATAACAGCCTCTACACCTGGATACCCTCCCAATGATCAGCTATCTCTAACCATTGTTCGGGTGTCGGTCACCTTACAAACTGTTTAAAATAGTTCCACTGGCACTGGAAGAAAAAATTAAATTTCCTTTTCGACAGTTGTCGGACTGACCATAAACAAGCACTCAACATTGGCGCTTCTGGATACATCCGCAGTTAAATCAAAACCATCAGAACTCCATTTCTTATACATCAACCAAATGCTGCAAACAGTACGACATATCGCACTCAGTCCTAAACCACTCAGACGAAACGATTTCATGCTCTCGCCTGTTATCGTCCAAAATAAATGCTCACACCTCAAATTCGCTGTAGAAATCTCTTCCCGGGAAATGTGAACCAGTCAACCAACGAAGTCGGGGTATAGAATTCGTTCAGTCCGAGCTGTTGGTCAATTAATGGACTGAGCGCATGTTGCTATTAAACTGAGCAACGCATAGGGCTGGCTGACACAGGCGGGTAAAGGCTAATTTCCACTCAGGAAATTATTAATGTGGATTGGAACGGACAAGAAAATTTTTCTTTGTGTTAAAGTCATTAGTTCCGACCCAGAGCTAACAAGACAAAGAAAAATTTTCTTGTCCGTTCCAATCGGATCCACGGATAATTTCCTTGAGTGGAAATTTGCCTTAACGAATTCAACTCATCTGCGTCAATTCTTTCTATCTGACTTGTTGCTTCTTCCATTGCCGCATGGATTACGGTATACAGCTATTTCGATTAAGGTTGTCCCTGAGCAAAGCGGAAAAGCCGAATACAAGCGCGAAAGGCTGCTGGGAATCCCTATAAAAATTCATTAATTTGTTAGCTATTCCCAGCAGCCTTTCGTGCTCGTACTCGACTTTTCCGCTTTGCTCGTGGACAACCTTAATTGAAGTAGCTGTATAAATTGAATATATTGCATTTTGTATTGCGAGTACTATATTTATTATCTCAACGTCGCCTGCCATAGTCCGTTTTGCCTCAACAAACAGAAGCCCAATTAATCACTTCAATTAATCACTTCAATTAATCACACAGTTGTGATTAAAGTGATTTGGCCTTCTCTTTGTTTAGGCAAAACGAACTATGGCAGGCGACGTTGAGGTCATAAATATACAGGATGGGTAAAAAAAACTGATACCTTCGTGGCCAATTTGAATAACAAAGGTGTCAGTTTCTTCTTACTCACCCTGTAGTACTCCCAAATGCGCATACGAAATTGCAAATTAATTTTTATTTCACATGATGTACAAGACGTTAAACAAAATAGGCCCCGAGTCTTTCACAAACCTCTTCACGTGTAAGAATAATATAACAAATTATAAACTTCGAAATATTTCAAGTGGTCTTTGCCTGCCACAACCACGCACCAATAAGTAATGTTTACAACCTGAGCGGCCGTGTTGTATCAGATATACAAACTCGAGCCGAAGGCGAGAGTTTGTATATCTGATACAGCACGGACGCGAATGTTGTAAACAACTTAAAAAACGGCTCATCTTATGAGTTCATTGGCGAAGTAATTTTAAAAATGAACGTTGTCTAAGCCGAGAAAATCAAAGTTAAAGTTTATGTAAGTCAACATGAATCTGTATCACATATACAGATACGACAAGCTTATGATTTTTCTTTGTGTTTTCTTCATGAATTATTAATGAGTAATATGAAAAAGAGTTTTGTGTATGATGGTGCTAAGTTCTGGAACTCTATTCCAAATGAAATTAGAGAGAGCAAATCTCTATCATCCTTCCAAAAGAAAATTGCCGCTCACATTTTTATTTAGACACCAAATATTGTCATGTGCAATGTAAATAGATTGTTATATTCCCATTACTTACTTTAATACCTGCATGCCTAATACTATTTCTAATACCGTCTGTAAATAATTATTCTAAAGTTTATACTTCTGTAATTTCTTTTATACACGTCCCCTGTGGAAATCAGCTTCGGTTGACGGGGTTGGCGTGGTTAAATAAAGTTTATCTATCTATTTATCTATATATCTATCTATCTATCTATCTATAATTTCGTTTATATACAGCTATTTCAATTAAGGTTGTCCACGAGCAAAGCGGAAAAGTCGAATAGGCTGCTGGGAATCGCTAACAAATTAATGAATTGTCATAGCAATTCCCAGCAGCCTTTCGCGCTCGTACTGCGACTTTTCCGCTTTGCTCGTGGACAACTTTAATTGAAATAGCTGTATACATACTCATACAAATTGCTTCATAAGAACAGATGTAATATTTCAAATCCGACAATGAGGACTGGACTAGATTTCAAGTAGTCCGCACAATTTGATCATGTCCGAGGCGAAGCCGAGGACTGGTTCAAAATGCGAGGACTTGAAATGTAGTCCAGTCCTCATAGTCGGATTCGAAATGACATCTCATGCGAATATGTATATCACTGTTTAATTCGTTTGGATCCAGTCCCGTTAATTTTGATCAAGTCCTAGGACAGGATCAATATACTTCATCAGGTATCATGCAGTATTATCATGTGAGCAAAATAAGCCAATATGGTGGCTAATTTACTCATGAATTATTAATTAGTTTGAGATATATTTTTGAACAGCGCCCACTCAGCTATTAAGCGTAAATACAGGCTGGGGTCTTTTTGAAAATAAAGAAATGCTAGTCAAGCAGTTCTCCAGTTAAAGTAGTTAGGCTATGCTTTGCAGGCTATAGTTAGGCTATTGTTAGCATCGTTAACATTATTTTGATTTATTTCAAATTAAATTTCAAATGTTTTGCTGATACAAATCTAACCACAAAGAATTAATAACGCTGCGATAGCTCAACTAAGAAACGAATACGATAATTAAACTTGTCTCGGCCAATAGAAAGCGTTGAGTTGTACAATGTGAACGGCCGGTACAGTCGTTCAGTTAATGAGGGTATTCGTTCGTACTTTAAATATATTACTAATTACTGCATCTTTAGTGATATTTATTCCGCGATTGTGTTGAAATAACAGTATCGCCCCATGAATCCAAAGAGAGAAATCCGAAATCCAAGGAGTGCATGGATTTCCTTACATGGGCCGAACAGTAGACGAAACGATGGGCCGGGACTATATTAGCTTGCGTGGCACGCCCATTGAATATGGGCCTGCAAACTCTCAAGAAAATTTGGTATTTCGAGCCCGTGAGCAGACTCAAAAATGCTATTGGTTGAACTCCTGAATCATAATGTATGCCAAAATACGCATAAATCACTGTGGCGCAATGTTTATACGCTTTCAATAAAAGCGTATATTTTTGAAATAGTACTGTGAATTTGGGTTTTAAACTAAAAATTGAACAGCTGGAAGTCGTTGAGATGTTTTGGCAGGTTTTCTCATTGGTACAAACCCATGCACGTTTTTGTATTTCTCTAAATAATACAGTAGCTATACCCGATCAATTTGAAAATACTGATTGACAAATTATTTATCCTATTAAATACATGTCCTTTATGTATTTATGAAACTTACTACTCGATCTACAAACGTTGCTTTTATCGGTTATTATGAGTTTTACAGCAGACTACAAACTACAGTGCAATTTAGCTTGTATTGTTATATATTTTTAGAGTTAAGTGTTTGTTATTGTGAATTTGTAAACGTTTATACAGTTCAGCTGTTGCAATTTTGAAAAATATGTTCGCTCATAACTGGTCATATTTTGTATGATTTTGAAATTTATTGTAATGTTTGGACCTAAGATGGTATTGTCTTCCTTTTGATATAAATATACTGCGATTTGCATTTAATCTTAGACACAGGAAGTTTTATCGCGCAGTTTTGATCATTGAAACGCCCAAGTTACCAAGGGCAAATTTGAATGTTGTCAATGAAAGTGCCTAAATCTCCCATGACAACATTCGCATTTCCGCTTGACAACATTTGAATTTGCCCTTGCCTGTGCGTTTCAACGATCAAACTACGCGGTAAAACTTCCTGTCTCTAAGCTCAACTGCAAATCGCAGTATTTTTGAGTTCCGTTCATTATTAATTGGTAAAAATAGTCAGTGTTGAGTAACGGCATTTAAACTGTTTATCAAGTCAAAATGTTTTGTTCTAGTGAATTGTATCACATACTAATGAGTAATGTATGAAACCGACATCGCCGGTGTAAAATCTGTGTTATTTACTCGGAAAGTGATTTAAACTGCCAATTTTTTAAAAGTTCGAATTCTCGAGCTACTCAATGAACTAAAACAGTAATAAAGTATATTCATAGTTGTTACTCACACTCAGGGTTGGTAGGTTTGCTGAATAATTAGGCCAAACACCGTCATACTAGGCCTTTGTTCTCTTTGTCTTGGCCTTTTGTTTTCTTTGTTTTCTAAACGGCACTAATGACGATTTGGCCTAATTGTTCATCTAACTTACCAAGCCTGCTCACACTGCATCACGCACACGAATTTCAGAGAATATGATTGGTTGGATTGGAAATAAATTATCATAGTAATTAGTTGGCGGTGATCAATTTTCCTTGAAATTGTTGCAGGCTAGGACTATATATGTGTTTAATTTAAATTTACAATGTTTGGGACGTTTATACTGTATGTATGTATGTATAAATAACGATCGCTTCGTCCTTATAGACCAATTAGAGAAATGATGTCACATGATCTCAAATACTTGACTTCGCTCAAGCCACGCTTGCCAGTCCCTGGATCCGCCCATGCAGCTGAACGCATGAAGGAACTTCAGTTTATTTACCTCATATGTCACAAAGCCATTTCAAAACGTCTTGATTGTCTAAACTAATAATTTATAATAACAAACTGTTTGATGTGACTGGAATACAATAAGGTGTAATTAGTTTTGTACTGCATTTTAAATAGTCGAAGGCAACAACGCTTTTCTAGCGATCTTGGCGGATTTATTGTTTCGAGTTCGCAAGCGATCGAGTGGCGGCTTGTTAATGAGATTCAAATGTACACCGACAATGCCCAGGAGTTGAGTTAAATCGTTGGTCTTGTTTATTGCCAATTGAACGTAATTGATGTATTCTGGGGACTGGAAGCATTGAAGGAAAGTAATTCATTAAAAGCTAAATTCATTGAAAGAATATTTTATAAACGTCTATATATCTTGTTCATCTGATTTTAATTAAAAGCGGATGTATAGTATGTATAAAGAAAGTCAGTTTGTCTTTGATAAACGTACAGGGAATATACACTCGGCTACGTGACGACATATAATTATTTATGCAATACCGACTTTAATTTGAGCGAGCCAGACTGCACGAGACCACATAACTCAGTGGACACTTAAAGAAACTCACCTGCTGCAGTTTTCTCTTTGGTACACAATTGCTGTCGACAATCTATGAAGCCATGAACTCAAGTGATGATATCATTTATATAACATGTATTCACCCAGACAAAGTATACCACTTCGGCCCAGCGGGCTCCTACAGTTTGATCAACATTCCGCTGATAGTCATCAACTCATTGTTACTGCTTTTTACAATCCTTGGAAATTTCACTGTTATTTTGGCGTATTTTCGTAATACTAGTCTTCAGAGCGTCCCGAACATGTTGCTGATCACTCTCGCTTTTACAGATCTGTTTGTGGGGGTCGTAGCGCAGCCTTTGTTTATGGCAGCACTATTGAGAGACGTGCTGAGTTCAAAACCGTTATGCTGGTTGGCGTTGTTGTCCAGTGTGACTTTGAAGTTTTGTGGAGGAGCTTCGTTCTTGACTTTAAGCTTAATTATTTCGTTGGAACGGTATTTCGCAATCTGTCATCCCTTCAAACATCGTCTTTGGGTCACCAAGACAAAAGTTAAACGAGCAATTTTTATTTTATGGTTATTTTTACTTGCCTTAACTGGCTCGCTTCTTCTTGGTTTCAACTACAATGTATATTTTGTAATTCTAACTCTTATGACTTTCACCGGAATAGTTGTACTAACGTTTGCGTGCTGTGGTATATTGATGAAATTAAAAACACGACGTGAAAGACATGTTTCTGTTGACGATATCGATGGACGCATACGAAGTCACGTTTCTCCAAGTACAACTTCAAACGAAGCGGAAAAACGCGATTATAAAATTGCTGTTACGATGTTTTATATCATTGGCGCAATTGTTGTTTGTTACACGCCAATGTTCGCTGCCATCATATATGCTCAAGTCATAGGAAACAGGGACAAACTGTACCTAAAGTACTTTTACCCGATCGCGATGACCTTAATATTTTTGAACAGTAGTTTAAATCCTGTCATCTATTGTTTACGGAACAGAAAGTTTATAAGCGCGATACGAAATTTGTGCGGAGTTTCCCGCAACGAAGCCAATTCTAGCGCTTACACGATTTCAAGCTCTAATTTTCTAGCCTAGGAATGGAATTGACTTGCACTAAATTTATTCACGTTGTAATTTGTAAAAGTAGAGAAAGTATAAATCAGTATAATAGTACGTGTTAGTTCGTTGATTAAGAAATGGCTGGAAGAATTCAACTGGGTGTGTCAGTATGTGACTAATGAGTAATCTAAATGCTTTATATTTGTACGCATGCAATTTTCACATTCAAACCTCAAGAAAAATGGATTAATTTTCATCGCATTGAAGAGCACTTTAGTTTGTGGCCCCCATGTTGGATTCGGAAACTACTTTTATCATGAACAGCTGTTTGTAACTTGATATCAAACTTATCTTACATGTTTCTTGAGGGTTGTGTTGAAAATTTGCTTTTCGTGTAGGAGATTACATAATTTCATGTATTAATAATTTAGTACTCGATATTGAACGTATTCTTGTTATTAATAAATATTCCCAAACACAGTTTTTCTTGTTGAGATTATTTATTCTTTTCGGGACAAAAACGAATCAAATCCAATTATTATTCTTATTGACATAGTCTAATGACAAGTTTACCAAACATGTTTACAATTGTCATCAATAACACCCATTATTTTATTAACTTCAGCGTATACGTATTACATTATTTTGACAAACATAATAACAATTTATACTTTAAATAGATCATTCTCTTCGTCCTACATACACGGAACAAATAAAAGGCTACTTCACTATTATGCATATCCTACACATACTGTATATAAAACTAAATAAAACAAGACAATGAAGCAAATTTGGTTTCTATGACTCAAAACTGAGACCTTTTGAAGTGACCTCTGAGTACAGCTCGGTCAAAGAATTATTGTGATCGAAGGATGACATATACAATACTCTATGGAACACGCAGCCAAACCGGAAGTGAATCGAGCCATTATAGTGATGGCGAGTGATTGCGAGTGATTGCGAGTGATGGCGACCGCAATTCTTTCATGTTTGAAACAACTTTGATTGCTGTGACTAGAAACAAGAACTGCTGAAGCCATCACTCGCGATCTATAACGGCTCGATTGACTTCCGTGTGGCGTGCGTGTTGTCAATGTTCTTTTTGAGGAATATTAGCGAACTTACTAGTACGGGTTCGTGACACGAAACGGGATTAATTAAATTTTACACTTTTATTATTCAGGGTGCGGTAACTCGCGTACTTACGTACCGAAGGTACGCCAATATTCGGTAGTACTTTGTTTTCAACCAAGTACCACGTGGGTACGCGGAACTCGTGCTTTCTGTGTACTTGAATTTCGCTGCTACTGATAGGACCTTACCAAGCCCAAGCTACAGTAGGTATTCAAAACCGTCAATGTAATGATATATAGGTACGTGACATGTCTGGGCGTGAAACATGACTAGATTGATGGGAATGTTGGACCCAATTCAAGTGTTTTGTGATTTTTTGTGTATGTAATTGTCGTCCTTCTCGCTGTAACTTGTAGTTTCAGATTACTGAATGAATACCTTTCAGAAACTTGAACTTTATGTACTTCATTTCTTTGTACACATTGTTCCAGCTCAAGTACGAGGCAATATTATTGAGTGACTAGTCAGGTACGACTAAAAATCTCGAACTATTGCACCCTGCTTTATAAAGAACAAGATTTATTAAGGACCTCAACAAGCAGGATGAAAGTGCAACAAAGACGGCTACTATAATAGCAGCAGAAATTTGCAATTAAAATCCCGCGGACGTTTTAGACGCCGTCGTTGCTCTGTTTACCGACAGATTATTGCGCGTTGTATACAACGCTTCCATATCAAGCTGGACAACTGCTACTTTAAAGTGGGTCGTAGAACTTTTCTTAATAGAGACCTTACGATTTTAGGACGGCGACGGCCAAAACAAACTCCTTTAAATAAATGGTAATAAAGATAGTTCGTCGTATATTATCAATCGTATGAACCTAATACAGTCTTAGAAATTGAAGACATGTGTTTTATCGTTGCTAAGAGTTCTGCTAAACCCAGTTTGAAGTTGCATTTGTTGTGGCTTGGAATGCAGCCGTTGTATCAAGACGTGAAAATCAGTGATTTGGCGTTGTAAACAGAGCGAGGACAATGTCTAAATTATTCATATATTGTAATTACTCAATTCTTTTCAATGATCTATTCAATCTCGTACCCAGAGTATGCCCGTTCGCAGGTTAGGTGCTGGGCATGACTCTGGAGAAACGGAATACCGGATATCCAATTTTGGATATCCGGTTAGTTGTGCGCATGCTCACGCTCAAACCGCAACACTGAATTCGCGCGGGCGTCATTAGTTGCAATTATAAATAAAATCGTAGAATTCAGTCGAAAATTTGATACTTTTTACATTGAAATCAATTGAAAAAGATTCATTTTCTTGTGCTAAAAGATACAGAGTAAATATATATGCGGTGTATATAAACCAATCATTTTTATGGATTTTATACGGTCAAGAAATGGTATCGAGAGACTTCGCAAGAAGGCCACTGACAGGTTTTATAGAGGATCTAGATTATTACAAACTATTCGATGTTTTTATAATATTAAAATATGTAGAATGCTTTATGGGCAATTGTGGACCTGTTAGCCTATTGATTTAACATTGTGCCAGTGCCGTAGCCAGAACGATAATTGGGGGGGGGGGAGGCACATATTCATACATTCGTGTTCTGCTTTATTAATTTCTTTTGAAATCAATTGTTTTTATGGTATGTGAACACGAATATATGAATATGTGCCCCCCCCCAATTATCGTTCTGGCTACGGCACTGCATTGTGCATTGCATTACATTCATACAAACAGTTCCATGGTTATATGTATTTAATTTATTTATTAATTGAGTCATAAAAAATTATGTTGACAATTAATTATTGATGCTTGAAAATAACTTAATTAAATGGAATTATGACATAGTGTTTGAACTTTGAAATGTTTTTGCTGATATAATATTATCATTTATCATAACATATATCATAGGAGACCTATCTATGGGTTTAACAATTAACACAGACTGATGTCATCAGGTTGGGTGCCTGTCTGAAAGGTGGCAGGCAAGGCAGGGTGTTGCTAAATTGCCTATCCGAATACTGGGGGCACTGATTGGGAAATCTGCCATTATTGGGGTTATGGGGTAAGCTACATTACCCTGACCTCCTGACATTGCTTCATATCCCTGGGAGATAAATCATAACTTACATGTGCTGATGTATGCCTGCAACCGGTATATGGCCAAGTCAAGGTAACTAGCTACTATTCCCATTAAATATGCACTGTACGTTAACTATATAATGTTGCAGGCGGAATGTAAGATACATGTGGGATGACCTGCTGCCACTATGGCATTGTCGTAGCCAGTGGTCTAGTAGGGGAGGGGTTCTGGGGGACTTAGGCCACCCCCCTCCACCAGTTTAGGACACTTTTGGAGAAAAGGGACAAAACTACCTGGGGGGGTGTGTGGAGGGGTGACACCCCCTGTCTCTATCTCATCGGGTATACCCATACAATTTAGTCGGGCAAATTTTGAAAATATTTGAGTGTCTCAGATTGAAAAGTAATAGTGGTAGGAAAAAGTGGTAGTGAAAAATGCTCCCCACTCACCAACAATTTTGGGAAAAGAAATATTAATTAGCGATTGAGCAAATGTTCGTCCTTCAGGAATGACTTTGGAAACAACCCTTTTGGTCAGGCAAAACAAGTTAACCTCACCCCCCTCCCCCCCAGCCATAATACAGAAGTTTTGCCCCTGTTGGAGAGCCCCCCTTGTTAACATTCCAGGACTACACCACTAGTCGTAGCCATACTGACATTGTTAGCATATATAATTTCAGCAAATCAAATTGTGTGCTCTTACTGCAGTAGCAGATACTTTTG